CATTAGATCTCATGGCTTATGCCCTCCATCTCTGGAGGTATATTTGAGGCTGACAAAATGTTATAGTGTCTTGATAACTTATGGGCGGTGTGTGTTTGTGAAGACTGCTCTTCTTGCCGCTTTGCAGCAGAACAGTTAAAGGCTATATATCTAGCTGTGTGTTTGGGAAGACTGTATATCTAAGAGTGTTCTGTTGGGTTTTTATTATGCTCTAATGTGATTCATGATATTTTGCCCAGACCAAAAAATTATATGTATAGATTATGTCATTGTTTATACTCCACTCTTGGGCCTTAGTCAATACTAACTGGGAGAAGGAGCTGGGTTATAAGTCTTGCACAATAACGTGTGTGGAATTTTTCATGGTGTCTGGTGCAGGATTCCTGAGAACACTGGCTTCTTAAAAAAAAAAAAAAAGGCTAAACTTAGAGCCATAGCTCAGTGCTAGAACATCTGCTTTCCATACACAAGGTACCAGGCTTAGTCCCTGACATCACCAGGTAGGGCTGGGAATATTCCTCGTCTGAAACCCTGGAGAGCCTCTGACACTCAGTGTTGGAGATATTGGGCTGAGTGGACCAATAGTCTGACTCAGCATAAGGCAATGGTTTGACTCAGCATAAGGCACTTTCCTATGTTCACAATGGGGAAGGAAGCCCACAATGGGGAAGGAAGCATCACCACCATCATTCCAGCTGGTGGAGTGCTGTATGGTGCACCCTTTTCTCTGTCCATGGGCTCCAGCAAGAAACAACACCAAACAACCACCTGGGTCTAGAAGCCAGTTTCTTTCCACCACAAGGTCAGGACACTGAATGGACCCAATGTGTGGTACTGCATGGAATACTGGGAAAGATAATAGTTGAAGGTGGGGACAAGGCAGGATTCAGATATAGTCCCCGCAGAGATGCTGAGGTCCTGGCAGTGGACCAAGAATAGTGACACCAGCCCAGACTTCTTACTTAGAAGAAGAGACTGCATGTGAGCCTCCAAGACCAGCCATCTTGCTCCTGTGTGGAGGGAGAATGATCAGTCTGTGTCCTAAGCTCCACATATTCAAGTGGTCTGTGTGCATGCAGCCCATAGATGTTCAGATGAATACCCATAAGCTGCCTTGTGTGTGATCTGGTACCCTGGAAATTGGAAGATCCCAGATTGTGCATATAGGAACCAGGGCTAGTCAGGTGGAGGTGTGTGGGCTCCATGCAAAAGTGGGTGCTTGAGCATGTGGAGACTGGAGACCTGGACAGCAGGCACCTAGCAGGCACCTGTCACCACCAGCAGCAGCAGCAACAGAGGGGCCTCAGAAAATGCAGAAGTGTCAGCTGAAGCACAGCATATACAGACAAATGCTTGGAGCTGAACAAATGTCAAATTCTCTTGTGTTGCCTGTCCAATGGGCGTGCATGTGCTAGGACTGCTCAGCTTAACAAGACCTCAGAGCTACTCTCTGTGTTGATGTCCCACTTTTAATTAAATAGCCTTCTGGAGGCTCCACCACCTTATGCATCAACCCCTTGAAAAACACAACCAATTGCTTAAAAAAAAATGTGTTCCTGGTTTGAGAATTGCTGCATCTGTTTGCTAAGCCAGAGGGGAAGCAGGTATTGTGCTGGGCTGGGGTCTGTTCTGCCGATTTCCATGCCCATCTCCTGAGTAAGAGTGGGATTTGACACAGTTTGAATAAATGCATCAGGCTGGCAGGTGAGGGCAGGGGTTAGGGGATTCTGCAAAGACTTCTCAAGCCAAAAGGAGGAGGTGGAGGAGGAGGAGGGAGTGCTAAACCAATTAAAAGAAGATGAAAGCTGACAAGCAGCTGTAAGGGCAACGGAGAAGATTAAAGCTAAGTGAGATTATTGGTTGGGCTGTGGAAAAACCTACATGCAAAATGATCAATGGAATAAAGCAACTGTTTGGTCCCTCCTGGACTTGAAAAGAAAGAGTCCTCAAGAGGCAGGTAAGCGTGTTGGGTGCTGGGACTCTTTCATTAGGCAAAAGAATGGAATGGTAAATAGTAGGTGGTTTTGTATGTGGCAGGATGAAAAGGTACTGTGCCATTTGAAACTTTCCTTGTTTTGCACTCTCCAGTTGAGCAGGAGCCTTCCTGGTCAGAAGGACTTATCACCATCAGCAACTAGCATTTTGAGACCCTTCTTAAAACATATGGGAACAGTGCAAACTCTTCCACAAATGATTCAGCTAGACACTGCAATTGTTCAGCCTTCAGAGCAAGCTGCTGGACATCCTGTGTGAAAATGTCAAACTGTTCAAATGTCGATGTATGTTTATGAATGTGGAGGAAAAGGGCAAGAAAGAGTTACTTTCGGTGTGTTGTTTAATTTGGGTGTGTTTGCCTGCACCTGCAGCTGGTTAAGCATGTAAGAATGAGTCGGCACAATTTACTGCATAAATGCTGTTGTGGTTAATAATAATAATAATAATAATAATAATAATAATAATAATTTTTTATTTATACCCCGCCCTCCCCAGCCAAGGCCGGGCTCAGAGCGGCTTACAAGCAATAATAAAAACAAGTTGAATGAATACAAATTAAAATACAAAATTAAAAACAAAATTAAAATACAACATTAAAATATTGAAACATTAAAATATTAAAATGTAGCCTCATCGCAGGAGGAGAAGGAAAAGAAAAAAGAAAGAGGGGGAGGGAATCAAGTTGGCTCCAAGCCAAAGGCCAGGCAGAACAACTCTGTCTTACAGGCCCTGCGGAAAGAAATCAGATCCTGCAGGGCCCTGGTCTCATGAGGCAGAGCGTTCCACCAGGCCGGAGCCAGAGTTGAAAAGGCCCTGGCTCTGGTTGAAGCCAATCTAACTTCCTTAGGGCCTGGGACCACTAGGGTGTTGCTATTTATGGACCTTGAGGCTCTCCGTGGGGCATACCAGGAGAGGCGGTTCCGTAGGTACGAAGGTCTTAGGCCGTGAAGGGCTTTAAAGGTCAAAACCAGCACCTTAAATCTGACCCTGTACTCCACCGGGAGCCAGTGCAGCTGGAAAAGCACTGGGTGAATATGCTCCCATGGCAGAGACCCTGTGAGGAGCCTCGCTGCAGCATTCTGTACCGGCTGGAGTTTCTGGGCAGCCCCACGTAGAGCGAATTACAGTAGTCAAGCCTGGAGATGACCGTCGCATGGATCACTGTGGCCAGGTCGGGGCGGGAAGGGCAAGTTTGCCCTTGGCCAGAGCATAGTCTGTATGCTGTAAGGCTACTGTATTTACAAATGTGTGTAACTGGAACTGCATTATACTGTCAGTTAAGCAACTGACTCCTCCTACGACGATCTGGTGTTTCTCTGCTCTTTTGGCACACTCCGGTGGCATTAGGATGGGCACTCTGAACATGCCCCAACACAAAAGGCTAGTGCTCTCCTTAGGTAATCTTTAGTTATGTATATCTGGGATGGGTGACCACATGGATGGAGGGCTAAATAAGGCCATCTAGGCATCTCTGTCTGTCACTCGGAACTCTTCCAAGCCACATTCCTCACTAGCCCTGGTTCACCCCTCCTTGAATGTTATTTACTGGGCTGGAATGTGTTGAACTCTGATGAGGCCTCTTGTTTGTCTCAATGGAGAGTAGAGGGTGTGTGGTGTGTGTGCAGAAGCTAGCCTACTGTACAAAGGTAATGCTGACATTCATTGTCCACCAGTGGTATGCGGCTTTCGGAAGGTTCTCCAGAAAAGGATGTGGCCCTTTGGTTCAAGATGTTCCCCACCCCTGTATGGTAGACATGCTGTGGGGGGCAATGGGGTGTGTGCTCTAGATCTGCCTCCTCCTCCCATTATTGTTCTCATTGCCCTCTGTGACCTGGAGGGTGGCAGTGTGAATTGGGGGCCCTTCCATCCTTGTGGAGGCTCCCTGCAAATTTTAGAAGACCGAGGTCTGAAGATGTTTCTGGTGGGACAGCAGCTCACTCTGCAGCTTCTCCCTTCCTCCACAGTTGAGTTGTGGCCAAATCCCCACTTGATGTCCTGTAGCTCAACAGGCATTGCTCCCTTCAAGCCAAGGCTGCAATCCAAGACACCCTGACCTAGGAGTAATTCCCACTAAAACTCAATTGGACTTACTTCCGAGCAGGAATCCAATGGATTGTGCAGCAAGTGACTGATACCTCAGGCAGTAATTGACATATCTAGTGACATTAGTTTCTCTATTTCTCATCTTTCCAGTCTCAAGTTCAGTTTGCCACTTTTCCATTAGTTTTTTTAAAAATTAAAAAATTCTCATGAGAAATTTCTAGCATTTTAATGCACATTTCTAATGTTATTGCAAGCAGTTATGTCATTTTCACACATATTTTTGCATGCTTTCCCCTAATAAACTCACTTTTTCTTACACATTTTTTTTTTAAAGCCAGAGAGCTACATTGCAAAATGCAGAGGAGTGTGAATTTCAAAGTATAGCTGCATTTTTGTTTGGGTCTCGCTTACAAAAACTGTTGGTTCGCACTAGATCAAATTGCTCTCCCATCCCTAGACTCTGCGAAGATTACTCACAGGTTAGCAAGTCGCTCTACAGTTCTGGGAGAGGGAAAACTGCCTTTAAACGCTTGGTTTTTGTCAAGCATCACATATCAAGGGCCGTAAGTTGTCACCAATCAAATTCTCTCAGAGCTCCAGCACCGTTTGCCAAAATACCAACTGCCGTTATGTGTACACTGTCAAATACTGTCAGATACAAAAAGACACGTCAGCTATGAAATATCAACTGTAAAAATAGCTACTTTTTCAAATACCAATAGATGCAGCATACAATTGTTATCTGCTAAATATTCACGCAATAGCTTAAACGTTCCAAATATTCAGCATCAATATTTCAGAGAGGAACCAAGAGGAGGGAGAAGCAAATTCTTTTCAGCTGTAGTTTGGGGATATCTGCTTAGGAACACATAGGAAGCTGCCTTATATAGTGTCAGACCATTTGGCTCTATGACTAGCAGTCATTTCCAGGGTTTCCAACAGATGTCGCACTCAGCAGTGTCTGGAGATGCCAGGGATTGGACCTGGGACCTTCTGCATGCAAAGCAGATGTTCTACCACTGAACTATGGTCATTCCCAATAGCCTATGTTGTTCTGCTCCTTAGCCTTATACTTTCCCCTGAACTTTGACACACACACACACACACCGCACCTCCATTCCTAGCAGCCAAAGGAAGCGCTCCTGGGTTTGATTTCCTCCTTCTCTGCTCGAAGCAGTCAGGGGTGGAGCAAGGTGGGTGCGGATGGCCCCAGGTGTCATCACCAAGGGGGGGGGAGACATTTGGCTCACCGCCCGTCCACGACTATCGCCTACCCCGAGCCATTGGGGGAAGGGGGTATTTGCACCATTTTTTGCTGCTTTGTTTTGATAGCCCCAGGGACGCGGGTGGCGCTGTGGGTTAAACCACAGAGCCTAGGACTTGCCGATCAGAAGGTTGGTGGTTCGAATCCCCACGATGGGCTGAGCTCCCGTTGCTCGGTCCCAGCTCCTGCCAACCTAGCAGTTCAAAAGCACGTCAAAGTGCAAGTAGATAAATAGGTACCGCTCCGGTGGGAAGGTAAACAGCGTTTCCATGCGCTGCTCTGGTTCGCCAGAAGCGGCTTAGTCATGCTGGCCACATGACCCGGAAGCTGTACGCTGGCTCCCTCGGCCAATAAAGCAAGATGAGCGCCGCGACCTCAGAGTTGGTCACGACTGGACCTAATGGTCAGCGGTTCCTTTACCTTTTCCTTTGATAGCCCCATGATCCTGGGCTGCTGGAGGAGGCATGCAGGCAGGGAGGGAGAGGACGGGAAGGAGGCAGGCAAGCAAACAAGTGGAGGGTGTAGGGAAGGAGAGAAGCAGAAGCTCTCTCAACTCAGGATCACAGCCAGTCTTTTTATACTGTGAGTAAATCACAGTCTCTTGGGAGTCCAACTAGATTTCAATGGGGGGGAGGAGAAAAGAAATTTTCCACACCGGGCACCACATGACCTTGCTACGCCACTGGAAGCAGTGTGCTTCTGCATGCCAAATGCTGGAAATCACAAATATGGAAAGTGATGTTGAGCTCAGATCCTGCTTGCACGCTTCCCATAGGCATCTGATTGGCCACTCTTGAGAAAAGGATGAAGAACTGAATGGTCCTTTGGTCTTATGGAAGAGCCAGTTTGGTGTAGTGGTTAAGAGCGGTAGACTCGTAATCTGGTGAACCGGGTTCGATTCCCCGCTCCTCCACATGCAGCTGCTGGGTGACCTTGGGCCAGTCACACTTCTCTGAAGTCTCTCAGTCTCACTCACCTCACAGAGTGTTTGTTGTGGGGGAGGAAGGGAAAGGAGAATGTTAGCCGCTTTGAGACTCCTTCGGGTAGTGATAAAGCAGGATATCAAATCCAAACTCTTCTTATCCAGCTGGGCTTTTCTTATGTTCTTTTGCCACTGGTTCCTGGTCTCTTGGCTCCAAAAGTTACCAAGGTGTCCCTTGGATGTTCTCGTTCCAACGTGACCCCTTAGCTGTAATGTTTCCATGTATATAAGGGACAATATCAGGAGAATGTACTGGCAATAATACTGAGGCACTAGCTCAAATGGCAATGCCATGATGTAACTCGCTACACAATTGCTATTTTCAATGTAGTTTTAGCCATACAATTGCAGGCATTCTCCATCATGCAACTGCAATTATGTGAGGGGTGGGAGAACAGGACTGTGCTTGCTGGCTCCAACCTCTCTCTCTTTGATTTATAGAAATAAACATTTATTCAAAAGTTACAATACAGCTTTGCCCACTGCCATAATATCACTGAATGATCAGTCCTCAATCCTACATCACTGTCATGTTGGCTTGCCAAATAACCTCAATAGGAACCCAACTACTGATCCAGTTGGCTAGACATTTTCAATCAATATATCCCTCTACAGACACCTCTGTGATGATGATGGCATTAAAATATCCTCTCTGTCACATTCCCATTGCTGATCCTGCTGTCCTCCAGGTGTCAGAGTGAGGAACTTGGTTTATGCACAGAGACTGCCTGCATGGTTTAGAACCTTGCACCATCACAGAAATATGGGGAGGGAACAAGCCTGATGATTTACAGAATATTGGATGACGCTTGGAAGAATATTTGACCTGTTTCCAGAGTGCATCAAATCCAGAGCTCTCACTTCCGAAAGAAGTATTAGGAGTTTATGATGCAGAAATAAGTGATTGGTGTTTGACGCACATTGAGCTAATGGTGAGCTGTCGGTCGAAAGAGAATGGTAGTGACATTATGTATCTGGCTTTGCCCTGGGCTGCTCCGTGCCAAATGCAATAAGCATTTCAGAATCTGAATGATCAGTTGTGTGCATGTAACAACAACAAAAACATAAAAAGACATTAGAAATAATTGCATATTAGCTATTTAGCGCTCAAACGGAGGAAAGGAGGAGATGATTATTGGAAACAGTTGGGTAAGGCATTAGGAGCAGGTAGGAGATGTAGTTGGGGGGGGGAGTTGGGGACTCCAATTCAGTTCACACTTAAAGGCAAATCTAACTAATTGGCACTTTTCGAAGCAATGTGAGAACCAAAACACAGCCATCTTTCAAAAATTTGTGCTTCTCTGAATTTTGCAAGGTAGTGCTCCAGCCAAGTAAAGTGTTTATACTAAAAGATATAACATGCATATGTATACCCACACATTTTATATATGCATGTATTGGTGAAAATATCATAAAAAATGCATTATATTAAGGAAATTTACCCTGTAATAGGCAACCATTCATATAAACTGCATATTAGGGGAAATGCACACAAAAATGCTGATGAATTTCCATGAGGAATGTGTGTGTGAGAGAAACTGAAGTGGAAATGTGGAAAACTGAATTTAAGACTAAAAAATGAGAAGGCGAAAGGAACTAAAACTAACACATTTGCCCCTTCCTAGGTGTGGGTGATTTATTGCTTCTGTAGTGCTGAGATCCCTCAAAAATTCTTATTCCAATTTCTCTGTGGATTTTGAATCCAAATTGCCCCCTTTCTTTTCCAAAGTAAAACCAATAGATTTGGAATTCTCGTTGTTTCATTCTTCATTTCCCCACATTGATATAAACCAGGGGCTGGCAACCTGGTCCCTACCGCTCACTAGTGGGTGTTTCAGGATTCTAGGTGGCCGGTAGGGGATTATGCAGGACAAGTTGAATCCTCCTTCCATCGGGCACTGGGGGGCGGTAAGGAAATTTTACTATCAAGAAAGATCCATTAGTGGGGGGTAGGTATAAAAAGGTTGACTACCCCTGATATAAACAGATGTTACATTGGGGAAAGACAACCTCTCCTGGCTCGAGGAAGCCTGCAATATATTGGTTCTCCCTCTGCCCACTTCCCCCTTCTTTCCCCATAGAATATGTGGGGAGGGAGCAGCTTTTGCATGAAACCATTTTGGGGGAGGGGGCGTGTCGATTGTCAGACTGCATATGGTGTGACGTCATCTGCACCAGCACGTGACTGGCATTTTGAGTCCCTTCTTAAAACATCAGTGACCAAAACTCTCTAAGAGATACATTGGCTATGCATTTGCAATTGTGTGACATTTGCAGCTAGCTGCAGTGGTTTGATTTCACCCTCGGAAGTGCACTCCATTGTCTCTCGGGGCAGACAGATGCCAACAGCAACAACAAAGAGGGTGCGGGAGAGGCAGCAAGGAGTTTGGCACAGTGCAAACAAACTGATTTGGCTCCATTGGTGCATCTGTGCTGCATGGACCTCACCACCACCTTGCCCTCAACCCTCTAAATCCCAGTCACCAGCAGCAACATAAGCGGCAGGAGGTCAGGTGAGTGGTGCTACCCTGCCATGGCACCCACTACTGAATATAATGTTAGTATTTCATGCAGCCAATGCTGCAAATGTGACTGGTGCGAATCACACGCCAGTCCGAGAAGACTGTGGGAAAAGAAGACAGCCTTATCTCACTTCTGCTGTATGTACTTTGTTGTTGTTTTTTTTTAAAAAAATATTTATTACTTTTATAGATTACAAAAAGAGAGAAATAAAAAAGCAAAAGAGAGAAAACAGAAGAAAAAACAGAAAAAAAACAAGCAGAAGAAAAAAACCAAACACCATACAATACAATATATAAACAATACAAAACACAACCTAAACTCAAAACTAAACACATTAAGCTAAACTAAACAAACCCCACTCCCCAAAACAAAAACAATTTAAAAACATACATCCTCTCTTTTCCATACTCTATCTTTCATTCCCTTGTTTCCTCGACCTCCTCACACCTCCCTTTTTGTATTCCGCTTCTATTAATTGTTTCAGCAAATCCTTTCCATCTTTCTCCATTTTCTGTGATATTGTAAATAACGTATTATTTTAACCTTATTTTCCATTAAAACTAAATAACTCCTTATAACATTTCTATTAAGACCATAAGAAATAAAAATAAAAAAATAAAAAATCATTCCACCATTTTTCTATCACTCATTAGTTTTACCATAAGTCTATATAAAAAGTTTAAATTTTCCAATCTTCTTCCACCATCTCTTCTCCCAGGTTTCGGATTCTGCCAGTCCTTTCCGTCAATTCCATAAAGTCCATCAACCTGGTGACCTTATGTCCGAGGCTCTTAACTCTTTTCCAAGTCCCTTCTGCAGGTCTTCTTCATTTTCTTTAATGCTAAAGAGCCAATCTCAGGGAAATTCCAACCAGTCAATCCTTTTCTTCCTTCTGGACAAATCAGCTGAGTTTCCATAGTTAAAACTACAGTCCATAAAGTATTTCTGGGTATATTTCAAAGTTCCTCCAATTCCAAAGACCCCCAAAACTTCAATCTCCTCCAGGCCCGAGTCCATGTCCCAAAAGTCAGTTAGTCTCTGCATAGAGGGCTCTTTCCAACTTTCCTTCTTTAATCCAAACCGGGATCCATTCCTCGGAGTCTGACTTTTCCTGAATTCAATCATAGAAGGCCTCAACTTATAATCTCCAATTTGCTTCTGTAAATCCACAGATCTCACTTGTATTATTTTATGTTGAACAACAGCTGCATTCTCCTTCTCCTTCTCCTCCTTCTCCTCCACCATTTGTCCTGCCAAAATGGGTTCCTG